CCTCCTTAGACCATATCGTACTACTAGCCCCCTTGCGTGTCATATTGGTGATGGGGGCTATTACTAAAGAAAATCCCTTTATAAATCTTCTGTAATAATTGCGAAACAAATGAACCTTTGAATGGCTTGCAACCCAGTGGGTAATTGCCACTGTAGAACAGACTCTAGTTTTTTAGGATCCATCTGAAACCCCGAGGCAGAAATATTATATCCTAAAAACTGTACTTCAGACTGGTCAAAGATACATTTTTCCAATTTACAATATAGTTGGTTTTTTAACAAGGTTTGCAGAACTTGTTTAACATGATCGTGGTGAGACTGGAGGTCAGGAGAATAAATAAGGATATCATCCAGATAGACCAAGACAAACGAGTAAATGTAATCCCTGAGTACATCGTTAATGAAATCTTGGAAAACCGCTGGAGCATTGCACAACCCGAATGGCATCACTAGACATTCATAGTGTCCACTTCTGGTATTAAACGCAGTCTTCCACTCGTGGTTTTCCTCGATTCTCACTAAATTGTAAGCGCTTCTAAGGTCAAGCTTAGCAAACACTTTAGCGCCCTGGAGTCTGTCAAATAATTCGGAAATAAGAGGAATGGGGTAGGCGTTCTTAATGGTGATTTTGTTCAATGCCCTTTAATCGATACATGGGCCCAACTCACCGTCCTTTTTAGATACAAAAAAGAATCCTGCACCAGCACGCGAGGATTATTTTCATATATGGCCTTTATTCAATTAATCTTTATTATATTCCTCCATTACACTACTCTCCTGAGGAGATAGAGCATAGACTGCTCCCTTAGGTGGCATAGCGCCTGGTAGTAAGTTAATGGAACAGTAATATGGTCTGTGAGGAGGTAGAGTATTAGACTGTCTTGCTGAATACTTCTTTAATGTCTTGATGTTGTATAGGGATCTCGGGATTTTGAGGTGTACTAGTGGGTAATTCAATAGTGCCCACTCTTTTGGTGACATGCAATATGCACCTTTCATTATAATCCTTACCCCATTCTAATATTTCCCCATTAGCCCAGTCAATATTGTCAGAATATTTATATCAACAGACATTTTGTGCTAAAAAGAAATTAAAAGTGTATATTGCAAAATCCATTCAGAACAAAGCGGACTCCATTTTGCTATCTTCAGGATAACAAAAACACATAATTTCCTTGATTTCTTCTTACTTCTGTAACTAGCCACTTGCTTGAGCTGAGGAATGTATTACAGAAACCAACCAAGATAAGCAATGAAGCAAGGGGGATGGGACGCTCTGTCTAAAATGTTAATGGAATAGATGTATTATCTAAACACAGACACTAGTGACAGAGAAGACCAAGTAATTAGTTTTACTTTCTAAATTTTACAAGGTACCATTGTAAGAAAGGGGTGAAATTGAGTTTAGAACTGTCAATTTTACAAGTTACGATCAAAGTAGATGCCACAAAGACTGGGATAAACGCTTTGAACTGACAGCAAATCTAAGTTATGGTAGTCATTTTAGATAAGCCAAATGACGTCAAAATCGTCATCAGGAAAAGGTAACTCTTTCCTGGATAGGAAGGTTTCGTTAGACGAGACTGCCATCTATGGATCAAATACCTAAATTGCGACCCATAGATTGGACACACCTACGGCTTCCTATTGGGTTATCAACTAATGACGTACAGAGAGTCTGGCCCTTTAAAAGTAAAGACAAAGGGAAGAGACAGGGTAGTTGGAGTTGAGAGACAGAGAGAAGAATTGGAAGTTTGGGGACTCCAACTTGGACATGCAGAGAAATCCAGGACAACATCTGGGACTAACACTCTACCCTTAAACTCTCTTGGACATAAATTCTTAAACTCTTTAACACTTTTTCTATCACTCACGCACCTCCATACAACCAATCAAGTTTCTGGGACTACCTACTCATCTGATGAGAATATCTACATAACTGGTAATTATGATGGTTTTATTTAATTAATTCAAATTAATTAAAATTTACTAATAGCATGATATATGACTGGATAAATCACGGTCAGATTTCCATATTAGAAATCTTAGTTAACTAAAGAATGTATAGTTATAAACATTCCATTCTGCAGGTGGAATTAAGAATAATTATATATTAATGTGATAGTATCACGTGTTAGCATACCGCTGTTTTTATCCAGGTGTATTGATTTGCTCTAAATTAAGATAAGATATCTTTTTAGGCAAATTACAATTCTGCTTATAGAATCTGGTAGATTATTCTCATTGGATGGTTCCAGGAAATGACTAATGAGCTGGTTTAAATGTATTTCAATTGAAAATCACAGGAGAATAGGATACTATATGCCTAGGAGGATCTAGCCAGCATTGAAAGGGTTATTCAGTTTATCTAACTGTTAGCCAGGGTTTTATGGCCCTTCGCTGTGAAAAGCTTAACTTTTTGTCTGTAAGGATACCCTCCTAAATCGTGTAAGTCTTGACAGAAAATGCTGTTTAGCCGTTGGAACATGTATACCCATTCCATTGTATTGTATACTATGTCATACTAATATTTACTGATTATTATTATGCATGCTGCCTAATATTTGTTAATTAATTTGTTACAATAAAAATAAATCTATTTTTATAACAAATTGTGGATTATTGATGGAATACTTTTCACTTACATGATAAACGATCTCTAAGATCTAAGAGGATTGAAATAGTGGACAATTCACGACTGCTTAAAATTATCATCCCATAAATATCCCCACAATATGAGGGTTATTCTTGCTAAGCCATGGGAATCCTAATATAATAGGACAAGAAGGAGATGCAATCACCTGAAATGTAATCTCTTCCTTATGTAATGCACCAATGGAAATATTAATGTT